TGTGCGTGGTTTGAGTCGTGTTAGCTTGAAATATTTCATTACCAATATGATTTATTCCGATAGAAGTTTCCTTCTTCAAGGAATAAGTTGGAGTCATTGTGTAGATGTACGTCCACTCTTTCTTGGAAATTTCTTTCCTTTTTTTGAGGAGTGACATCAACAATATTGATTTTTTCCGTTCAATTTCTTTGACTGCTATGAAATCAAACGGTTAATAAATAATGTTAACATTGAAATAAATTCACCGCATAAAGAAAATAAAAAATAAGTTATCATATTTTTTGTTATTTTCTACCTTTTGTTGCGGTTTTTCGTGAATTGTTTCACGAAGTTCACTTTAATCTAATTTTGAATTTAAAATGTTGTCCTAAAAATCAATTCCACACATAATGTAGTTTTAAGTGATTCAGGTCTTTTAAATTCAACATTTAAATCGTGTTCGAAAAAAATATGCTTTTTTAGATTTAACAAACTAATATAAATTAAAGACACCTCCGACATGAAAAAAGGGTGAAAATAACAAAAAAACAGTGCAAATTCAACTCTATATTTTGGCAGGAAAACCACAAGTGGCTATATTTAGAGCACTCCAGCTTTTAAATGTGAATAAATCTTTTGTGTCTCGTACCATCGCTCGTTACCGTGATACTGGTAGCGTAGCCCGATGTCAAGGAAGTGGACGGAAGAGAACAGCAACATCTGCAAAAATGGTTCGAAAAGTAAAGAAGCAACTTGATCGAAACCCGTGTCGCAGTGGCCAAAAAATGGCTCGTAAGCTGAACCATTCTATTCGGCAAATATTGAAAAATGAGCTCGGGATAAAGCCATTGGACATTCCAACAGGACTCAGCACCATCACACTCAGCACGCGCTACCCAAGAATGGTTACAAAATTAAGGTTCCTTGCTTCATTTCCAGCGCATAATGGCCACTAAAATCTCCGGATACCAATCCGTTGGACTATTGTGTCTGGAGATTTTTGGTTGGCACTAAAAAATACCAAAGTGTCGATCACCTCGAGCAAGCGCTTAGCCGGGAATGGACCGAAATACCGCACAGCAACATTCGGGCAGCATGTGACGGTTTCATTGGCCATTTGAACGCCATAATTCGTGCCAAAGGTGACCAATTCAAACAAATCTAAACTTATTCTAAAATTTGATGCTATTTCCGACAGTTTTCGCATCCATTAAATAAAATTAAAACCAAATAATAAAAATTATGGCGTTTGACTTTGTTGCAGTTTTTATCTCACCCTGTATATCTATAACAGAAAATTGTCAATGCAGGTACATCTCTTCGCATAGCCCCATATAACGGTACCTCCCTATATTCAACATTTTAATGTTTTTTTTCGCGATATTATTTACCAGATATGTTTCAATTTTTGTATTTGAAGTTCGTAATGGATACTACAGCCTATGACAGAAAAGTATCTATGCAGGTCCAGGTCTTCGTATAGCCCCTAGCCCCTAAATATCGGTACCTCCCTATATTCGGTATTTTGATGATTTTAGAAACATTAGTCTCCGGAATTGTTTCAAATTTGCACTTCGAAATGGGTACTGCAGCCTGTGGCAGAAAATTGCCAATGTGAGTACACGTCTTCGAATTCGTCTTTTAAGATTTCAACAGATTTTTTAAGAGATTCTATTTTTTATTTATTTATTTATTTTTTTTTTTTTTTTATTTTTGAAAATTTCCAACGACTATAAGAATTAAAAATATATCGCTTAGCTCATTTCATTGTTTGCCAATAAATATTAATAACTCCATAAGAAAAATCATTCTTCAATGGCATTTTCAAATTACACTTTGAAGTAGATCCAATAAACTCTTAAAAAGCATTAAAAACAACCTCAAGATAACAAACAAATGATATCATCGCCAGCAGCCAAGAATAAAACAGTCAACAACAAAATGTGGCAAATAAAAGCAAATAAATAAACAATTAATGTGGACATAAAGCTTGCGACCATCCTACTGGAATACCAGTTGGCGTTGGCTTGCAATGTCTCCCCAGGGAAGGGAACACCAATGATAAGATGAGAAAAAAAAAACGATGACAATAATATTCGAAACAACAAAACTAAAAACAAATATTCATTCTATCTAGTCTAAAATGAGATTCTGAGAAAGCACAGCCATTTAACGACAGAAAGCCCAAACAACAACAACAACAACAGCTTTTACTAAATGTTAAATAAATATTTAAATATTTATTCTATGTGTTTTTTTTTTTCGACACGCCGGTAATACGGGTAGCCAGGCAACAACATCCATTCCCATAGATTATTTCAAATCCATATGGAAAAATGCTAAACTCAAACTCAAAATTAACCAAAACTAAATGTTTAATTCAAATCAAGCCGAGGAGGACGAGAATGTTGTGTCATTAACAATAAAATATATTTCCAGTGAAACTTTGAAGGAGGGAATAATGTGGCAAATAGCTCACACACACACACTTACACACTCAGAATAAAAAATGATGTCATTTTTTTCGTTAGAGTATTTAGCCAAGAAATTTGTTGGTGTTTTTTGTTGTTGCTGTTGCTATTTTGCCTTGATTCTCTTGACATACGACGTAGATTATCGATTGAGTTACAATGACGTAGCGATTTTATAGGTTAGATTGTCTAGTTGACTGACTGACTAGCTGGCAGGCCGACAGCTGCAGTTAATAACACTTAGATCATCCTTTGAGGTTAAAGTTGAGATTTTTTTTAATTTAATTCAATCAAAAGTTTATTTAACATTTATAAATTAGTTATAATTGTGCTCAATCGCTTAATATGAGTATTTATTTTCCAAATTATTTAATTTCATATAATTATACTGATTGAGATAGGGTAATATTTTATCGGCATATAAATTCTACTATTCTGGCAAAGAAGTGAACCAAATTCCCGAATTAAGGGTACTCCTACCATCATTAGCGAAGATATATTCTTTTCGGTTTTTTTTTTCAGAAAATGAAACAAACCGAATGAAATACACCCGACATTCTCAATTCTGCCAGATATGGCGATTTCTCTCCAAACGTGTCAATTTTAAAATTTGTTTGGAGACTTAATTTTTGATTTGGCGACATGGCGATTTTTTGCGGATTATAGAACAGATGTCAATTTCGTTGGCGAATTATAGAAAATTGCGCATTTTTATGTCATCCACCATAGTATGGAGGGTATTGGTCCAAACATGGTACATCGTAATATTTTTAGATCGAGTTCGGAGATGGGCAATATTGGTCCACTCCTTCTGGTACCTCCCCCAGAAAAGGCCGAAATTAACTTCCGATTCCATTTAGACCATTTCCATTTCTTCTCGTACCTCCCCCTCATAGGGTTCAAACTTTTGATAAACAAGCCGCTCAAAGAAAGCGAAATAAAAGATACGAAATTGGAGAAAGTCGCACAAAATTTAGATATAACTCCCATATATAACTTAGTCCAAATGGGATGGAATTTGGTACTTACGACTGAATTGAGTCTAGAATCAAGTATGTCAAATTTGGTGATGATCGGTTCAGATATAGCTAAAGCTCCCACATATATTGTTCATCCGATTTGTTATACTTGTTGCTCACAGCCGTAATATGCACTCCGTAACAACGATATTCAGGGAAATATATCAAATACAGCCCAGAAATATATTTGCCAAATTTTATCGAGATCGATTCAGATTTGGATAAAGCTCCCATATATCTTTATCCGATTTCAAGTAATTATGCACCAAAAGGGCAAAACAAGCCTCAATTAAAAAGATACAAATTCTTCGGACTTCAAATTCTTCGGACTGAACTTTAAATTATAATTATACTCATAGCTTGTATGATTATCCCATATAAAGTTTTAATTGTTATGTGAAGCTCAACTAAATATGCAAAGTGGTGTGGGGTATCATAAAGTCGGTCCCGCCCGACTTAAAGACTTTCTTTGCTGGTTTTATTTGTATTAGTTGAAGTATAACAATGGAATACTTCGGTTTATCGGTACATCATGCGCATTTTAACATTTTCAAAAATTTACCACAGATGTCATATAAAATAAAGAAAGTAACCAAGATAGTCCAAACTTGGCACTTCGTAATATTTATGTCATATTTATTAAGGTCCGATACGAAATGGATAATATTGGTCCACTCCTTCGGAATCTACTCCATAGATGGTCAACAATTTGAATAATCATAACACAAGTCAAAATATATTTAAATAATCGAACATAGACTGAGGGTATACATCTGTCGGCAAACCCGACCGATACTTTTTAACTTGTTTTCCAAATACTTTGCCACTTTTGAAATACGTTAGCAACAAATGGCGATCTGATAGATAAAATAAATAAAACATTGCCAATGTTCAAGTGTTAATTGATTGTATTAGAGTAGAGACTTCAAAAATCAACAACGACTATTTAGAGGTGAAAAATAATTTCAAAGGCATTAAATTCCAATTAGAAATCTTTCGAGTCACAAATGTACATATCATGGTTTAGATCATTATTTATGGGTCTCAAAAGAGTCCGAGTTTATCTTATCGGGGTAAGCTATGGTAAACAAATAATACAAGTCAACAAATTCATTGATAGATAAAAAATGGTGGAAGAGCTAGATGTTATTTAATACTCTCGGCAAAATATTAACCATGCAAAAAAAATATTAACCATGCCAGTGTGTCTAGCACACCGAATTTTTGAGATTGAAATATATAAATTAGCAGAGATGTGCTAAATAAAAGCCAACTTGTTTTGATATCGAATAATCTATGGCTTCATTTAATTTATAGACCATCCCGAACCCGCTTTCAATTCGCAAGGACAAAATATTCTTTAACACAATAGCCGTATAAACCTTAAAATATACTCTCCCATTCATCTGTGGCAACCAGAATCATCGATAACTTCGATAATCGGTCACATTTCAATACAATTACATGAAAATCAAGAGACGGTTGGAAGGGCGGAGGTGAGGCAGAAAAACTAAACACCAAATATATTTACCTCGTTTCTCCTTGATGTGTGAATCGTATTGTGAATTACTACGGGCAAAATTGATTGCTGCCATAGTGGATTGGAATTCCTGGTATTCGTTTGTGGAATGTGTAGTAGTTGTTGCTGCTGCTGTAGCGGAGGTGTTGTGAACGGTACTTTGAGGATGTTGAGTCTGCGGCAAGGGCAGACTCTTGGACAAAGTACCCTGGCTAGGGACACTAGCCGTTGTGGAATGCGTTTGTTGGGAATGGACTGTTGTCGTTATGGCACTTGATTCCAAATCGGACGTGGCGGCAGACCGTGCTGGCACTATAACAATGCTGCTAGCAGCGGCACCCTCAGTATCCGAATCGTCCGATATTTCAGCCGATTGATGCTGGTACGACGCTTTGTGGGCAAATTCGCCACTACCGTGACCGAGACCGTCGCGACCGTAATTCAGGAGCTCTAAACGTTTCTTAACTAAATCGCCACCCGCGGCTGTACTACTCGTAGTGTGCGCACTCTGACGTTCAACGTCCAACGTCTCACCAAAGAAATATTTGTGCGGTTTCTGCTGTCGGGGTGATGTGGGGGAATAACCAATCCGTGATGGGTCGGATGCAGGTGCTGGCGGTGTCGTTGCTTGGGTGGATACTTCTCTTTTTACAAATCCACGTTGAGATTCTTCTGAGGGCGAAGAACCTTGCGATTGTATCGTTTTCGTAAGACTAGTCGTCTTTCTGCCCGGAACGGTCTCAAAGGATTCGTATTGTGATTCACTGCGACGACTGCTGCTGCTTCTGCTGCTGCTGGTCTGGTGTTGATGGGAAGTAGTTGTTATTTTTGTCGTAGTCTTGGCAGTTAAGGTCGAGGGGCTCGAAGGGTGGTAGTGGTGGTGTTGTTGTTGTTGCGTTTGCCATGGCATTTGTTCTGTTTGCTTGGTGGTTTCCACGTGAAATTGCTGCTGCAGCTGTTGGGGGTGGCTCAGAGTGCCTTTGCCCACAATAATGTCAATGTTAGCAGGTGTTTCCACAGAAACCGTTCCTGAGCTCACGGAAGGCTCGAATAGACGTCGTTTGGCCGAAAGTGAGTCAGTTTGATCAAAGGATTCACTGTAGCTGCTTGTCATTTCCATTTGCTGTTCCTCCTGTTCCAATTTGATGCAGATACGGCGACCACCGGCCATCATATCCACCGAGCGAGAAGGAGTCGAGGCTCTCATCTCGCGATGTGGTGAATTGCGTGGCGATAGGTAACCTTCGCCATGACGGAAGATTTTCTCCTCATGCTTGCGGCCATCCGATGTCATGGAAGAGGTGACAATGGTGGTGACACCATCTGCTGACTTCACCTCACGAACGGTTCTTTCGCCCTCTAAAAATCTCGCCGAAGCCAACTTGCCGTCTGGACTAAGAGGACTCAAAGAACAGGACGATGCCGAAGAGGGTGGCGTTATCGAGGAATGATGTCTGGTTGTAGTGCGTAGCGTAACATTGAAAGGACTCTCGAAGGGTTCCATTGGAGGTGGCGGATGGCGTCGATATCTTTGAGTTGTGCGTAACGTGACATTGAAGGGACTCGAGGAACTGGAGTGTTCCTCCAATTCAATGCGACCAGTTACCGCGCCAGGCGTAATCTTACTGGTTGTCTTCAGGGTAACATTGAATGGACTTGCCAATTGGTCTTCCTGCACCTCTACTTTGCGCGGCTTGGGCTGAGGCGTGGAGCGAAGTTGTATTTGCTGAAAGGCCTGCTTAGCTGCTTCGGCCTCAGCCAAACCACGTCTGCGTTCCTCACGTAGGCGCTTCTCAATCTCGAACACATCTATGTCAAAGGGATTGTCATCGCTGGTGGGCATCTCTTGGCCACTAGGCACTGAAGTGTCCATGGGAAGATTGAGTTCCGTACCGCTTCCACTTCCTGACGACCACACCTTCTCATACAAGGCCACTTTCTTCTTCAGGCGTTGAGGCGTTTGAGGTGGTGTTGTCAGCCGTTCCGAGGCCTCCTCAACCAAATACTCACGGGAACTGGAGGATGAATGCATAAATTCCTGGGATTGCTTTATTGTCTTCTTAAAAGTCCTGGTAATGGTGGATGATTCGTGCAGCTCTGACCCAAACACCTGATCGCTGACAGTGGCAATATTTGGGCCACCAACAGTAGTCGTGTCCTCCACATCCCTCTGGCCTTGGCTGCTAACATGTGGTTGTCCGGACAATGTGCTGCTAGTCGTGGTGGTAGATGACTCAACAGCTGTTCGTACTATACGACGTTTGCGCTTTGCTGGAACAGGAGCATGTTGCGTATTTTCCGGTGATAGTGGTGGTTGATTGCCGGCATTGACTCCTTCAGCCGTCGTCGGTGGAGGGTCTTGCTCGTGCTTTTTATCTGTGCTACTATCCATTGTCGACGAGCATTTAAGTCCCACATCAATTTTTCACAAGCGGTTATTAAGTACTGCGCTCTCTCTCTGGCTCTCCTTCTCTCTTTCGGTCGCTTTTCTTTAAATGAAAACGTTTACAACTTGGAAATTACGGTAAGTACGGACACATTACAACGAATACAAAACGAACGTAAATTGCACGACAACTCGAATTGATTTTTCCTAACACGGACCGCGCCGAACGTGTACCACACACTTCGTGAGGGTGGTGCAAATGCCGGTAAATGGGTTAACAATTTTACACAAAATCACTTTTTTCACACACTATTTTGCAGTTATGTTTTTTCTTTTTGAATTTCCTTCGTTTTTTGAATTAATTTTGGTTTCTTACGTTTGACAGGCGAAATTTCGAAACTGATAACACAAACACTTACAAAAATTAAATAACAAATTTCAAACGCAAATTTCCAACTTTTTTTGGGATGCCATTCACTCATCCATTCATAAATAAAAAAACGATGCTCTTTTTATTATTTCTTTTGTCGTCCTCCTAACGTAAGCCGAACACTGAGCAGCTTGGCTGCTTGCCGTCTGTCGTGGGAATCTTCTGGTCTGGTTTTCTAACTTCAACCACTTCTCTATAACTTTTTTGTTGTATTTGTTGTTGCTTGATACACCTAGGAAAGGGCGTTTTTGGTTGGGGTTTTTCTTCTTTGCTTCATTCACAATCTTTTCTTCCTTTTTTCACTGGTTTTCTGATTTATTATCTAATTTTTCTTTTTTTTTTTGTTATCAAACACCTCTTTCTGGTTCACACCGATGATGGTGATGTTTACTTTGTTTTATTCTTAACGAGCATTCTAACTCATCTTCTTTCACTCAAAATGATTCTTCTTTTTCTGTTTCTTTTAACACTGTGTGTGCTGTCTCACTTTTATTTTTCCTTATCAAAAACAATTTCAAACGAACTAAAAAATTCCAATCCGTAGTGGCTGATGCCGTTTTCGTTACTGATTTTTGAAACGGCAAGTCAAACTTAACATACCTTTGCTGGGTGCGCAGTTATTTGTTGGTGAGAAAAACAAAAACTTGAATTTCAGTTAAGAGAAGCGTGCAAGTGGTGGAAGAGAGACCCCAAGGCAAGAGAGTGTTCATCAGTGATGGTAAAACTTGAAATGTTACTCTTTGTGAACAACAAAATGTACGGCATGAATTGGAATTGTTTAGCGGTTGTGAAGATAGACTTGGAGAAATTTAAAATAATATGCGATAAGAAAATATTGTTCCTAAGCGTACCATTATGAAGGAAAATGGAATAGGTGAAAACGCCACGAGATTGTTTTAAAGAGATTCTGAAGCCCTTTTAAGTATTTCATGTATATGGACAAGGTGAGCAAGCAACGCAACGGAATTCTAATAGGACTACCAGCGTGAAAATCACGTATCATAGCGTATAAAACGTTACTTCCAATAATCACTTAAGTCACTTCCTCGACGGTGAAAAAAAAATATTTTCATTATTTTTATACCCTCCACCATAGTATGGAGGGTATATTAAATTTGTCATTCCTTTTGTAACATCTCGAAATATACACTTTACACCCCACAAAGTGTCAATTTAGCGATGTCCGTCCGCCTGTCCGTCCGTCTTGAGAAATCACTCTAGCTTCCGAACGAAATGAAGTAGGTTGAAAAAATTTTACTCAAATGTTTACTATGCAATACTGTTGGTATTGAAAATGGGCCATGTAGGTCCACGTTTTGGTATAGCCCCCATATAACGGTACCTCCCGATATTCGGTATTTTGATGATTCTAGCGACATTATTCACCGGAAATTTTTCAAATTTGGTATTTGAAGTTCGTAATGGATACTACAGCCTATTGTTTTGACGGAATTGTTTCAAATTTGCATCAAATTTTAGAATAAGTTTAGATTTTTGAATTGGCCACCTTTGGCACGAATTATGGCCTGCAAACGGCTAATGAAACCGTCAGAAGCCGCCCGAATGTTGATCTACTGTATTTGGACCATTTCCGGCGAAGCGCTTGCTTGAGGTGGTCGACACTTCGGTAATTTTAGTGCCAAGCTTTCTTTCCAAAATACTCCTGACACAATAGTGATAGATTTTGGTGGCCATTGTGCACTGGAAATGAAGCGGAGAACCTCATTTTGTAACTATTCTTGGGTGATGCGTGCTGAGTGCCATGGTGCAGAGTCCTGTTGGAATGTCCAAGGTCTGTGCCAAAATGTTTGCGTGCCCAAGGCTTGTTATTGCGGCCCATACCATCACCATGACCGGCGCTTGAGTTCTGGTGGCCAGCCTAAGGTGCACATTTTCAGCTGACCTCTTTGGCAAGTAAACACGATCATTTTCTTTGTTCGGTTCGAATCCCAAGCCGAACAGCACATTTTTAAAACGAAAAAATAGTGGGTATTTCAGCTAATTAGTGTAAGTTTTATCCCTGCAAGCAAAATAGTATAGTTGCGATTCCCGAATGGTTAGGAAATTCATTATTGGTAATAACATAAGGCCGCTAGTCCACCTCTTTCTACGTAAGCGCAAGGTCTTTGTACATGGAGCTATTTACAAAGCAAAGCGTCCACTAATAATAAAATCAAATAATTCTTGAAGAAACGTAAATGAAAAAAAAATAAAAATGGCTTCGTAAAAAAATCCGAACGACTGTTCCATCATAAATAATCGAAAGTTTGAATAATACAAACTTTCGAACATTCATATTGAATGTGATGGAATTTAAAACGCTTTACTGGAAGAGAAACTGAACACATTGAACAATTACTCTCTTAAAATACCAATCAAAATAAAAATACTCTCTTAAGTGAGCGACGACATATAAAAGTTTGTTGTCAACTTTGCCGGCTAATGAGAAATTCGACCGGTTTTCCGAGGGGTAAAAATACTTCGTCGTAAATAGTTGTGAGACCTCTCGCGAAATGTTCGTGTTTTATGGGGTGGCATTTACACTGGTATCTAATTATAATTGGTGGCGCTAAAAGTAATGTGTGGCTATGTGCGCACATACATACGTTCAAATGTAAGTATGTATGTATGTATAAATGTAATAAACTGTGTATTCAATGAGAAACAAGTCACATGCCAAAATGAGAGCTTTAAAATAAAAGAAGCTGACTTTGATTAACGTGACATTTCTGGACTTGAATTAGTTTACGAAAATAATAGATTTGAAAACTGGAGCGATTTTCATTTCTTTTATTTATTTGTATTTCTTTGAATTAAATGTAAACTTCTCAAAGGATTTAAAAAATAGCGTAGGTATTCATTTTTTCTTGATTGAAAAAGATAAATACAGAGTCCATTTACCATATACAATTTTAAATTCTTATTTGTTCGATTTCAAATCGTACAAATGGTTCTGACGTAACCCCAACTTTGTAATGTTGCTGATGTCATTCGATCGTTTTTGTTATTTTTTTCGTTGTAACTAAAACTAAGAGAAAAAATTAATAAATGTTCAAACTTGTTTCAAATGCATCTATGTTTTTGGGTTTGTTTTTTCCAATTGTCGATGCAGTGATCGCATCCAAAAGTTGTTCACCTCAAACACTGAGTGAGTGACACCGTAAAAAATATTGTTTTCGTGTCACTGGCGCATAGCAAATATGTTCACCGACAACCTTCACATTGCGGATCAATAGCATAAATCAACAACAACAACAGCAGCATAGTGCAACAGATATCATGAAAACAATCAATAACTCGATAAAGTATTGGTAGGTACCTAAGTTCCGTTCATTTCAACTTGATTTTCTTAAATCGAAGTTTAATAAAGTAATGCCATGTTTACGTTAGAACTTTTTGTAGGGTTAACCTACTTTGAGAGGATTTATTTGAAGTAAAAGTAATGGATATGACAATTTAAATCCAAATCCAGTGGGTTAAACCTCATATATATAAACGTACTGTAAAATAAATTTGAGATATTTATTTTCATTTATTAAAGTTGTTTTACACTGTCTTTTTCTACAACATACCTACTATAAAAACCTGCAACCAACTTCAGACTGCTGTCTTTCTAAGCCACTCGTCTGACAGTTGTTAAAATTATTCCAGTTACAGCTCATTATATGGTTTACAAACGTACAAAAGCATTTGGTGAGAATTTTCCAGAAAAGGTTATTTGTGATGGAATTCAAGCGTGATTGTGTGATTTCTTTATATTTGGCTGGAAAACCACAAGTGGCTATCGTTAGAGCACTCCAGAATTTAAATGTGAATAAATCTTTTGTGTCTCGTACCATCCCTCGTTACCGTGATACTGGTAGCGTAGCCCTACGTCAAGGAAGTGGACGAAAGAAAACAGCAACATCAACAGAAGAAGTGACTTGATCGAAACCCGTGTCGCAGTGGCGAAAAATGGATCGTGAGCTGAACATATATTCCATTCGGCAAATATTGAAAAACGAGCTCGGAGTAAAGCCATTGAAATTCCAAAAATTGGAAAAACTTACACCGCAAGAGAAAGAAAATAGACTCAAAAGAGCTAAAGAGTTGTTTGGCTTGCCCGAAAGTGGTGAACTGCCGAATTTGGATTTCTCCGATGAGAAAACATTCGTTGTCCAGCAGTTTGTAAACAAACAAAATGATCGTGTTTACTTGCCAAAGAGGTCAGCTCAAAATGTGCACCTTCGGTTGGCCACCAGAACTCAAGCACCGGCCACGGTGATGGTGTGGGCCGCCATAAAAGCCGATGGTCGCTCTCTCGACCGTGGCATCAGAATAAATGCCGAATATTATCGCGAAGATATTCTATACTGTGTATTAAAGCCCTGGGCACGCAAAAATTTTGGCCGCAGACCTTGGACATTCCAACAGGATTCAGCACTATTTCACTTAGCACGCGCCACCCAAGAATCTCCGGATACCAATCCGTTATACTACTATTTTGAAAAGCAAGGTTGGCACTAAACAATAAAAGAATGCTGTCTAAACGTATATGGCGGCCAACGTATCCAATTTGAGTTTGAGACTACTAATTTATTTATATATTATGTATGTAGCTCCATCAGTGAATTTACCGAGAGATGGAAGGTTAACTCAAGATGCAATACATATATTTTTTCAGGCATGTCACAGAATGTAAAATCGTTCAAGAGTGAAAACGAAAACGGTTTTAGCTTCTCTAAAAAACGGAAAACGCAAAAATTTTGCGTTTTGATATCACTTTCAAAAAGCAGGGTGAAACTGAAATGTTTAGTGATTTTAACGTAAAAAATAAACAGAAGACACATACATTTAACAGAAAATATTGTATTAACCAAATTCTCTTAGAATGAACATGTTTTTGGAATTTATTTTACAAAAAATTTATTATTTTTCTAATCCATGATGAAAACGCAAAAAAATATGCAGAAATGAACGGCAGACTTGTATTGTTGAATTATTGCCATATGTGTTGAAGAAGAAGGTGTAGAAATGTACAGCGGACAGACCAAAAAGCAAGAAAGGGGAAAAACAAAGAAACAATTAATTGTTTGGTTTGAGACAGAGCGTCTTCGGAAGGTTTAACCATTCTAACATGAGTTCCGTCAATGCATCCTACAATTCCTGGAATTTCATAATTTTCAAAAAAGTACAATTTCGACTTTCTTTTTTCTTCGGAAGACATTCTTAATTTGATCCAATGTGGACAAATTCCAGCTTCAATTGCATTAATAACTCTCCACATAATTGTAGAAACTGTACTTCTCCCAAGGCTTAGCTCCACATCTCTACCTATAACTCCTTGAAATGCACCCGTAGCCAAAAACCTAAGCGTTGTTGCAAGCTGGATAATAGCCGGTATATTGGAACGTTTGAGGTGGGGAGAAATTTTTTCCAAAACTAAAACAAAAGCTTCTTTATTTAGCCGATAATAAGTTATAAATCTGTAGAAATAAATTATTATTAAAATAAATTTGAAAATAACTCATTGCTGGTGGATCCTTACTCTGCATTTGAGTGAGATAAAGGATCTGATGCGTTCCTGAATGTCCGGCGACGAATTTTTTCAGTAGACCGCTGATTTATTTCTTCATCCATTACAGCAAGTATTGAAGCCCCTGGCATTTTTACTTTTGGTGTTTATATTATAAAAAACAATTTAAACTCCTTTTTTAATTGTCAATAATTTGTTTACGATTTTTTTTCATGGAGTT